CAACAGGGCTCAAATATAAACATGAGAAAGACAAAATAAACAGCCAAGGAATGGATGTGAACCAGTTTAATTTGTTGAAAAACTATAGAAAATCAGGGAGGTGATCTTGATGGAAATAGGCATGTTTCCTAAATAAAGGGGTTGAAATATTGCTTAAGGAAGATACTATTTGGAGGTGACTCTTTCCTGATTTACTGGGGATTAAGCAGGAGGACAGCTTACACATTCAGGCTTGCAAGAGACTGTTACTATGGATCAGAGATGGTATCCAGCAGGTTCTGACCAGTTCTGGAGAACCGGTAGCAGAAATTTTGAGTAGTTCAGCAAACCGGCAAATGCCACCTCTGACTGGCCCTGCCAACCCCATCTATTCTCTGCCTCCTGAGTCCCAGCTGATCGGCTGGGTCTTCTTTGGTTGCCCTGCACAGGAGAACGGAGCTGGAAAGCAGGTTAGTGGGGTGAGGAGAGAATGGGGATTTTGCCTCCTCTGCCACGCCCACCAAGTCACACTCACCAAGCAATGCCATGCCCACCAAGCCACGCCCACAGAACTGGTAGTAAAACATTTTTGAATCCCATCTCTGCTACAGAGTATTAAGAAAATATAGTTCTAGTGTTCCTGTGAAATCTGTTTCTTGATTTAGCTGACCTCAAAGGGCTGACCGGAAAAAAAAATAACCAAAGAAACTAATGATCAGAATTGATTATCCTAATCATGGGGAGGACAGTGGAACTATGGAGGCAAACCCCAAAAGTGGTTTTTCAAAAGGCCACTGGAATTCGTTTTTCCTTGGAGATGTTTCACTTCTCATCCAAGAAGAATTGAAGTCTTCCTAAATGAGAAACGAAACCTCTTCAAGGAAAAAAAAAACCAAGAAAATCCAGTTGATTTTTGAAAAAAAAAAAACCCATCTTTGAGACAACACTGGCTGCTGGGTCCTTTAAACTGAAGATGCTAAAGAACGCACCCAGGACTTTTCACATCGTTTGGCTTGCAATTTTTGCAAGGATATAAAACTGAATGCCAAGCATCTTTTGCCCAGGGTGGACTGAAGGTGGCCCTAATGATCCTCGGTAGTCTATCTCAGTGCTTCTCAAGCTCACCAGCTTTAAGAGGTAGAGAAGCATGCTTGCTGGGGCATTCTGGGAGTTGAAGTCTGCGCTTCTTAAAAAGTTGCTGAACTTGAGAAGCACTGATCTGTATACAAAAGGTCATCTCAAATCTGTTGACTCGCTGAAGTTCTTGGATCAACTGTTGATCCAGCCTTGTGACTGCTTCTTGAGTTAATAATCAATCAACCAAAACAGAGCTGGAAGGAAAAGGTCTTCAAAGGAAAAACGAAGTCCAGTTGCCTTTTGAAAAAGCATCTTTGGGACCTGGATGAATGAGAATCTCCAAATAGATGGAAGTTATTGAAACCTCACTGTGAAACTCATCTCCTAGCTTTTATGAGAATTCAGCCAACGTGATTTTGTCACTGGAAGGATCACTATACAAGCAAGTTGGCAGTTTAGCAGAAATCTGGTTATTTTAGTATCCAGTATGCGCAGATGATTTAGTATCCAGATGATTAGGGGACTGGAGGCTAAAACATATAAAGAATGGTTGCTGGGATTGGATATGTCCAGTTTGATGAAAAGAAGGACTAGGGGTGACATAATAGCAGTGCTTCAATATTTGTGGGGCTGCCACAAAGAAGAGGGAGTCAAGCTATTCTCCAAACCACCTGAGAGCAATGGGTGGAAACTAATCAAGGAGAGAACCAAAGGAGAACTAAGGAGAAATTTCCTAACAGTGAGAACAATTAACCAGTGGAACAGCTTGCCTCCAGAAGTTGTGAATGCTCCAACACTGGAAGATTTTAAGAAGAGATTGAATAACCATTTGTCTGAAGTGGTGTAGTTTCCTGCCTAGGCAGGGGGTTGGACTAGAAGACCTCCAAGGTTCCTTCCAACTCTGTTATTCTATTATAGTCATAATACGTTCATACTATATGCAGCACAGTATATTTCAATCTAATTATCTCACTTACTTATCAAACTTAACCGCCATTTTGATGACATCTGTGTCTTCAGTGCGATCATCATTATTTGGGCTCTTCACTTGTAGCGAAACTTTTTTCTTCTCCAGTAAATCAGATGCTTCTTGGAAGAAGGTACCCATCTCGAAAACCTCACTAATTTAAAAAAAAAATCAAATTAATTCTAGAAAATGGTCTTGGATTTTGAAAATGAAATATATTTATACATGCACTTATGAACACAAACACACCAATATTTACACATTCGTAAACAAGACTTACAACAGTTCATTCAATGACCATTCAAAGTTACAGTAGCACTGAAACATGTGACTTATAGCAACAGCAATTGCACTTAAGACTTATACCCCGCTTCACAGTGCTTTACAGCCTTCTCTAAGCGGTTTACAGAGTCAGCCTATTGCCCGCAATAATTTGGGTCCTCATTTTACCCATCCCAGAAGGACGGAAGGCTGAGTCAACCTTGAGCTGGTCAGGATCGAATTCCTGGCAGTGGGCAGAGTTAGCCTGCAACATTGCCTTCTAAGCATTGTGCATCATGATTGGATGGATGGATGGATGGATGGATGGATGGAGGAAAGGAAGGGAATGGAAGGGAGGAAGGGACGGAGGGAGGAAGGAAGGAAGGAAGGGCAAAAGCAATAGCACTTAGACTTATATACCGCTTCACAGTGCTTTCCAGCCCTCTCTAAGTGGTTTACAGAGTCAGCCTATTGCCCCCAATGATCATTTTTTCACACTTATGACCATTGCAGCATCCCCACAATCATGTGATTAAAATTCAGACCCTTGGCAACTGGTATGTATTTATGATGGTTAAGCAGAGTCCCTGGGATCACGCGATCCCCTTTGGTGACCTTCTGACAAGCAAAGTCAATGGGGAAGCCAGATTCACTAAACGACCGGGTTACTAACTTATCAACTTAAGGGATTCACTTAGCAACGTGGTGAGAAAAATCATAAAATGGGACGAGGCTCATTTTTAACAACAGCAATTTTGGCCTCCATTGTGGTCATAAGTCGACAACTACCTGTATTATGAAAAGCACTGACTGTACAGTAAAAGTTAAAGAGGCTTCTTTGATCAAGTAAGGTAAAATCTCCTTTCAAAATGAACTCAACCCTTGAAGATACATAGACACAGTCCTGTTATTTTCTTGGTGGCAGTCCATCTGCCACTGCCTTCTTCGGACACCTTCAGACCAGGTAAGCCAGAGCTTTGAGATGCGTTGCAGGTCTCCCATCCAGTAAAAAGAAGGCCTAAGCATGCATAACTTTTTGAGATCCAAGTAAATAAATAACAAGAACGATACCCCTATGTGTCAATCTTATCCCTATTTACTTGGGAAGAGGTTTCATTAAAGACTGACTTCTGAGCAATTTTGCATAAAAAGTGTTGTTTTCGCATAGATTCAACCTCTTATTTTGATTGCTTATTGTACCCTATGACTATTATTAAGTGTTGGACCTGATTCTTAACTCTTGACGAATGTATCTTTTCTTTTATGTACACTGAGAGCATTTGCACTGAAGACAAATTCCTTCTGTGCCCAATCACACTTGGCCAATAAAGGATTCTATTCTATTCTATTCTATTCTATTCTATTCTATTCTATTCTAT